GATGAGGCCACCTCTAGCAACAAGCAGCTTCTCCTTCCAGCCAGAGGAGACACTTCCACTCCTGCATGGCAAACAACTGTCATATCAACCACATGCTGCAGCAAGCCACAGTGCACTCCTAAGTACAACGCTGCCCTAAACTCCTCAAAAGCACTCCACTCATTTCTGCTTCTGGCAGCATTGTACACTTCTAGCTGTGGCAGCACAGCAATGGCAATTATCTGTACAAATCCTTTTGCTTCCTGCTCCCCATATCCCAACTGTATTGGATATTAGGAAAAATTTCTTTACTGAGGGAGTGGTCAAGCACTGGAACAGGCTGCCCAGGGGGGTGGGGGAGTCACCATCCCTGGAGGTGTAGATGTGGCACTTTGGGGCATGGTTTAGTGGGCATGGTGGTGTTGGGTTGACGGTTGGACTTGATGATCTCAGAGCTCTTTTCCAACCTAATGATTCTGTGATTCTTTCCCTGAGGATGAAGAGACAGCATGAGGCCCTGAAGATATTCTGAGATCCAGCACAAAAACTCACAAACTAAGGGCATTTTAGCTACACATTGCTAGTTAGGTTAGCAGTTCTGTCTCATGGAGAGATTCTCTTGTTTGCAAAATGTTTGTTAGTAAACCCAATTATCTGCATCCATCTAAAGCATACTTTTAAGGATGTTTTTCAATAAAAGATGCCTTAGCTGACATACAAATCTCACTGAATTGAAAAGAAAAAGCTTATCCTATCTACCAAGAGATAAGCAAGGAAAGCAAAGCTTGTTGGAAAAATAAATCAGGACAGTGAATATAGACAAAAGAAATGGAGGTAATTGGAAGCAGTCATTTTCATGAACTCTGGCTGTATGCTTTTTCATTACACAAAAACTAGAAGATGCATTTTAAATGCAGTATGTCAGCTACTATAGGGCTAACAGCTATTTAAGCATTTACATTTCGTATGTGCATCATCCAATTGAAGAGTGAATGTCTCAGAAAATCACCATGTGGCAGTCTCAAAAGTATAATTACTTTGCTTTCCTCAATTTGTCCTCCTTTCTTTTTTCTTTTTAGACAGCAAGAAATAGAATAACTATGGGAAGAAAATAAGAGTGCTGTGAAATTTAATAATAAAACAGCAGAAGGAAATTCGCTAACTTTGTAAGCAATACACTGTTTAAAACAACGACATTTCAACAGTAAGCTTTCAAGTTTCATTTTGTTCTCTCAGGCCAGACACGAAAATTCCACAAATATCAAAGAATATCAAAATAAGACATTTTAAAGATGAGCAAAACTGGCTCTTCTAAAACTTAAAATTACGATATATATAACGAATTACATACAAGGATACTTTAGCTAAGCCAGTTACTAAAAGCAGCAATCAGCCAAGACAGAACTGGAGGTTTTCTAATCTCAGAAATAGTCTTGCTAAGCCCCTGACGTGCTGACTGCAAGCAGCACTGCATGAAGCAGTTGGTCACCTCAGCAAGATGGCACAAGACTGCCACCGTGTGGAAGCATAAATCAGACCTGCACGAGCAGGACAAAAGTCAACTGTGGCTCCAGAGACTACGGAATACTTTTCCTATGGTATTTTTAACAGAAGCAATCCACCTAATTCATCTACTCACAAGAAAAGTAACAGAAAAAAGAACAGTTCAGCATGCACGTATTGCTTATAGCGTGAAAACTGTGCTAATTTTGAACATGAACATGTGTTGTAAAAAAACTTAAAAGGAATGAAACACAGAATGCTCACAGAAAACAGAAAATATAGTTCACTTTAGAGATGATTATCAAACAAACTTCCTATCTTCCCAAATAACCAACTATCTTTAACTAAATGAAAAAAACCCAATCTGTTCAATTATTTGTCTTTTTTCCCACCTCAAAACAATTCAGTCGTGCCATGGCTGTTCAGCTCTTATTTTTATTATAGTCAGTTACTGAAAAACTGTTGTCTTCTTTCTGTCTGAAAAAAAAACTGAACCCGAGCCTTTATTTTTAAACAGCAATTACAAAAATGTTAGCTACACTATTTTTGTTTTCATCTTAGACATTTAAACAAATGAGCATGATTTTTTCTTTCAAAATGGATAGCTGATTAATAAAATTTACAATAAATTACGTGTTCTAATGCTGTTGTAAGTTATTTCATTGCCAGATGACACCTGCTGAGGAATTAATGTGAAGTAAGCACTTTTGGGTGTACTGAAATAAAAATACTTTGGCAACATAAACCAGGATAAACACAGTCCTTTCTCCATGCCTTTAAGACAAATAGCCAATAAATTATGGACAACTACAGTGGAAATATTGCAGAAGCAAAATACTAAAACTGATTTTCAATAATATACTTGCTCCAAGATTATGAAGTATGTTTAACTAATTCTTGTATCTCAACTTAAACAATACTATTGCTACTGATATTTGTGAAATTTCTAAGGGATGTTGGAGACCTTTCCTCATGACTAATTATAATTACAAACATCTTGATTTCTCAGACTGAATCAGGCTAACATGGAATATAACTTGCAAAATCCCTGTGGTTCATCAGCAAAAGTGAAAACATAGCTTTAGTCAAAAAATAACTTTTCCTTTCATGTTTTAGTAATTCACAGACTTTCCTCATTAATTTAAACTTGTATCAACTCAGCCAGCTTTTAAATTAGAAAAATAAGTTGGAAATAATTGTACTATTAAAATACATAAATATACTGATAAATCCTATGAGAAAATATTATGCCATTTCATAATATTGGTTAAAAAAACTCCAGTAGTTCACAGACATCCCTCTACATGTAATTTTTCTAATGTCCTGTGATGTGGAGCTCATTATAAGGTATTGTGCCCTAAATGTTCAGGGACTTTTGGCATTCACTTTTCTTTATGAAAAAAATGTGTTTATATAATTAAACATGGCTGCTACCTCTGTTAAGAACAGCAGGAAGCATAAACACTGTTCCTTAATAGTGTTGATAATCGAAGGCATTCAGATTCCAGTATCAATGGACACACTGGACAAAACGAGACACTTGTGGACTCTGTGAGCACAGGAATTTTTGTCAAGTGAGGAAACAACTGCTCCCCTACTTAAATCCAGAACCCCCCCCACCCCTGCAGATCTAGAAGATAATTCAAAATTGCAGTCAGAGCCCCAACCCTTCCCAAGTTACCATTTCAACCTCAGAACTAAAAATCAAGGACACAAATGAAGCTGCACTAAAATGCACATAAGCTCTTTACCTTGTTTATGTTTATACTGGCATAATATACAAAACCAAAATTGAAGCAGAAGGCATGCAAGACTTCAACCCCCAAAATCTGTCACACTAAAATCACAACACGGCACAACATCCTGGACTCTGCCAGAACCATGCTGGGTTCTTGAAAAGCAACTCATTTTAGGTTTCTCTTCTCCTTCAACTGATACAGAAGCAAACAGGGAGTAATCGAAAATGGCTTTCCCTCTTGTACACACATTGTCAACAAATTACCATGCTGGCAACAGGCCAAGAAGCAAACAGTGACCTAGCAAATGTCTTAAATTCAATACAAATAAACCTACTCATTGAAGAGTGGCTTTGAGGTTTCCCTAAAAGAGGGTACAAAAACATTGGGCAGGAGAGTCTGAGTTAACCACACTCTTCATAGTGTTGGTAAAGGGAAGGGATCAGAGCCAAGACATCTGCATACTGTAAAAGAAAAAAGAATATGAGTACTGATGTGAGTAATAACTCCACAGTACTGACCTTTTGAGAAACAATTCCATTTCAGACTGACTGCACTGGCAATAATACGATATATTTGCATAGACTTGGCTCCAGTATTTTCGTAACAAAACAAGAAAGAACTTAAAGATGCTACAGATATGCAGTTTTGGATTCCCCTCTGCCACATAATTTACTTATGTTTATAAAACTGCTTAATAGTTCAGTGATCAAGTATTTTTTAGTCTGATTAAAGTCATTTACTGACAGGAACCATTACCGCCTTCTTTTATTCTGATGATAACACACTAGATGCTTTAAAAATATATATATATACACACACATTGTATTTTACCTTTGTAAAACAAAATATGTACTCCCTAGTTCTATCATATTTGTATATGTAAGAAAAACATTTAAAAGAACAATTCAGTAACACTATTAGGATTTCTTTAAGATTACAGGTCAAAGATCTTGGAAACATTCAGTTCAACTTGGGAGTGCACTCATATCCTACTTCAATACAAACCTGTGAACACAGAACCTGAGGACATAAAAGCCTTATTGTTTACAAGGGAATTCATTAGACTGCATTCCACTGTGTAACAACACATTTCAGTCTGACATACAGAAATTACTCCCTTTCTAATTGGTCACATTATAAATTGCAATTTATCTTCTGTTGTACAATAACATTTATTCCCCCAAAGAAGGTACATGCACATAGTCTTCACCATATTTTCTCAACTTTGATTTGAAATACAGTTTTCAAAATGCTCTGATGGTTTAAGAGCCTACATTCTGTTTGCAAAACTTATGTAAGCATTTATTGACAAAAAAAAAAAAACAAACATGAAAACTCAGTGGGACGTAGGCGGCTTTGAAAATGTTATACTTTAGCTTTGGTTCATACCTTGACCACTAGCAAACCTGGATGGAAGTCGCCTGATCCAAGGAGTACACCCAGGGATAACAAAAAACACTTAAACACTTTGTTTAAAAGAGAAATCTCTGAAACATAAACTGCCATGCCTTCAAGGGCACATTATATAATATTACATTATAATGAAAAATGATTGTAAACATCTCCCTTATTTCACATTAGTTACAGAAAGGTGTTCTCAAATTTCCCCTCATATTGAATTTATTAATTCCACGAGCTCATAAATTCAATACATGGAATACCTTCACAGTACAACAAATCAGATCTCGCATTCAGTTCCAAGAAGTAAGCAAACAGCTTACTTCCCCAATTCCAACTGGCGAAAAAAGTCCTTACATAATGCAAAACATATTGCTTTATTTCAGAGTCCACAGTTCTGAAACAGAACTGGATTTTTCCAAGGGTATGAAAGTATATAAAAAAAAATAAATTCACCACATAAACCTCTGGATTTCATCACTATTCGGCCATTGGAATGTTCTGTTTAGAAAAAGATAAAAAGTCACTGCATTCACAACAATATAAAAAGCCAGCTCTAGAAGTTGTTTAGATAGAGATGGAAACGGAATATTGAGCCTATATATTAGGAATGGCAAAATAAAATAACGGAATTCTAGCAATTTTTGAGGAACTGTGACTGCTAATAAACATGCAAAATACATTAAGATCCAGAATATCGATTTTGATTTTAGCGTATCAGCAAAAATCCAGCCAGCAAATATATAGACTGGAACTAATACATATTTTACAAGCTCATGTCTTTGGAAGACTTTTCTCCAGACGTAGAACGTGTAATGTCTGTTATCTGCTAGTAAATACTTGTGAACGTAGGTAAATTTCCAGACCAGGAGTAAAGAGATGATGGTGACTAAGCTGTACAGCACAGGGTGCTTTCGTAATGACAGAAGGAATTTCCTGATTTTAGTAGGCGTCAATAAATGAGGGAATGAAAAAAAGACAGTAAAGGACAGAAAATAGAACAGCTGAGGAAAGTGCAAACAGGCTTCGTGGCTACTTCTGTCACCAACAACTATCCCCCCATTGATGAAGACAAAAACAAAGAACACGGTTACTAATATGATGTATGGCCAAGTTAAAGCAGTGAGCGTAACTAAGTTTTTAGGCGATATGAGATATTCAGTAAGAAACTGCAATATTCTGGTCAAATCCGAAAATGATCCTTTCCTGGAAGAAATCTTTTCATCTTTCTTTTTCTGTAATTCTGTCTTCCAGGCTTCATTTAGCTTCTCTGCAACAACACTTCCAGCACAGAAAACTGTCCACACAATGTTCGTCTGACGAAACATGAAGCCACAAAATCCAAGGAGAGCTGAAGTTTTATGGTTACCATAAAGGCACATTAAATAAGCAAAGAGAGTAAAAAATACTGATCCTGGGTCTGTATAATAAAGGAATGTAAAAAAATAAAGGGTGGGAAACATTGCAAGAGTTAACGTAGACAAGATTCTCTGGAAACGAGACACAGCCTAGAGAAGAAGCAGAGAAATGTGGTTAGCAATGTCCAATAAAAATAAAACAAAACAAATAAAGACTATAATTCTTGAGAACTCCATTAACACAAAACAACATCTCTTACACTCTTTGGTTCCATTACTGCACAAGCATGCATGCTGTATTTTTGTTAACCTCCTGCTACGTTAATACAGACTGTTGGACTATACAATGTTAAAAGACAAATGAAAGTACGGAACATTATTGCAGGTGAGTTAAAAAATGGCAACAAAAATACACCAACTTCTTTCATATGTCAGGTGTTCACGTATTTGTGGCATGACAATAATTGTGGGAGTATAACTGCTCCCACACCTAGGATAAAAGAGTTGCACTAATGGGCAAAAGAGAAGAAAAAAAGTTCCAAGTTTCTAATCTTTGGTGAACTTTTGTTGTTTATCTGTATTATAATTAATGAGTTAGAAAAGAAACTTTAAGAAAGGTAGGAGACTATGCAGTTAAAAACTCCTCCCAATTATCACAGAATCACACAGAATCACAGAATCGCTTGGTTGGAAAAGACTTCTGAGATCATCACGTCCAACCGCTCCTGTCTACCCCCTAAACCTTAAGTACCTCGTCTACCCGCTCTTTAAATACATCCAGGGATGGTGACTCCACCACCTCCCTGGACAGCCTGTTCCAGCCTCTGACAACCCTCTCAGTAAAGAACTTCCTCCTTATCTCTAACCTGAACCTCCCTTGGCACAGCTTGGTGCCGTTTCCCCTTGTTCTATCTTCCATCACCTGGGAGAAGAGACCAGCACCCACCTCTCTACAACCTCCCTTTAGGTAGTTGTAGGTGGTGAGGAGGTCTCCCCTCAGCCTTCTCTTCTCCAGGCTAAACAACCCCAGTTCCCTCAGCCGCTCCTCATAAGGCTTGTTCTCCAGAGCCCTCACCATCCTTGTGGCTCTTCTCTGAACACGCTCCAGAATCTCAACATCCTTCTTATAGTGAGGGGCCCAGAACTGAACACAGTACTCGAGGTGCGGCCTCACCAGTGCCAAGTACAGGGGGATAATCACCTCCTTGGACCTGCTGGTCACACTGTTTATCCCACTCACTACAAAACACAATGCAATTCACAACATTAAAAAATGCTGCATGATGCTTCTGAACAACGTAGCATGGGGTGAAACAGCCAGTCACCACTTCGGAGAAAAGAGGAGTAAGTGGTGAGTTCAAGGAAGTGCCAACAATACAACTTCCTTTTTCCAACACTTAGACTTCTGTCATGAAACCTCTTGTTTTCTTACATTTCTATTTCCACCTCCAAGCATAAAATTAAAAGTGTTTCAAAAGTTGAAACAAATTATTGAATTTGACCCAACTCTCTATAGTCTTATCATGAGCTTAAACATGAAGACTCTCCTGTAAGAAGGCACATCAGAACAAATTTTCTTTATAGTAAAGGAACCTTTCAGTTATCAGGGAATGGGAAAAAGTGTTCTTATCATTAAAAGTGAAACTAAAGAACTTCACTAAGCTGAAAGATTTTGAATAGGTCATTAATCATTGGAACAATGCTCCACCACTTTAAACACACAATACTCAATATTCTTGTATCCAAGTTGAACTGTTATGGTCTGGATGGGTGGACAACCAGAGAGGCAAAAACTGGCTGGATGGTTAACTGGTCACACTCCATCCAAATGCGAGTCTAACAACCGGAGTATCACAGAGATCTACACTGTCCTGTTTAACATCTTTAACAATGACTTGAAGGCAGCAAGAACACACTTTCATCAAGTCTGCACTAAACTGGGGGGACCGGGCAATGTGCTAAAAAGCAGAGTTGCCATCCAGAGTGATCTAGACAGGCTAGAGGAATGGGGCAACAGAAATATTTTAAACTCAGCACGGATAATTGCAAATACCTGCAAATACCTGCAAATCCCCACTATGACACAGGCTGGGCACAGAGCAGCTGAGCTGCTGCACTGTGGAAAGGGACCTGGGGTCTTAGCAGACAGCAACGTGAACATGAGCCAGTAGCATGCCCTGGCACTAAGAAGCAGCAACTGCCTCCAGGGCTGCATTAACAAGGGATAGCAGCAGACCAAGGGAAATCATTATCCTTCTTTATCTGTTAGGCTGCACATAAAATACCACGTCCAATTTTGTGTCTTGTGATACAAAAAGGCACTAGTAAACTGGTGTAATGGCAGAGGGCCACCAAGACAGTTGAGGTGCAACTGCCCTGAGTACAGTCTGAGATGCCTGGCCTCGTTCAGCCTGGAAAATAGATGGCTTGAGGGGACCAAATAGCAGCCTACCAATACCTGTGAGGATGTCAACAGGTAAAGGAAGCCAGGCTCCTCAAAGTGATACACGGTGGAAGGAAGAAAGACAACAGTCATAAACTGAAATGAGAGGTTCAGACTGGATGTATGAAAACCCTTCTTCTCTGTAAGGCATGGAGCGGGTTGCCCAGAGAGGTTGTGAAGTCACTCTCCATCCTTGGAGAGTTTTCCAGGCCCCAGCCCTGAGCAATGTCTTCTGACCTCAGCGCTGGCCTGCTCTGAGCTGGAGGCTAAACCTCCTAAGGTCTCTTCCAATCTGAATCATCCTCCAATTCTGTCCAACTTGAATTATTCTCTGGTTCTAAATATCAACATCAAACCTGGTATGTTTCCAAAGAATACATTTTAGTTTAAAAGAAGCTCACAGGGCTTCACTCAGAATTCACTGGCTGAAATTTTATGGAGGATTGAGGACAGCTCACAGAAGTAGTGAACACACTCCACGCCATCAAAATTGCTTGTATGAGCACAAAAAAATTATTCTTTGACCATACCTTATTCTTCTGATGGATTTTGAGCAGAAGTAAATACAGTAAATAGAAGTTCCCAGCACTGAAAAGGAGGTTGATAAACCTCAGCATTCCCGTGGAGCACACCACACTGCCTGTCCACCCGAAGAGCCACGCCATGGGCTTCACTGCTCCCACCGAGACCAGGTACAAGCCCGGAAGTGTAGTGATCATGGGGTCCCACTGGGAAGTGGAGAGAAACAGGGTTATGGAGCTGCTACCACACAAAAAAGGGACCAGAGACATGCAATGGGTTATGACAGACCATTCCCACACACACACCCCGTTGTGCTAGCTTGGATGTTTAGCGAATTTCTGGCACTATTAGACTGAAATTTTTGAAACACATTGTATCCTGCCCGGCACGCTACTGCACCCCCACATAACGGTAAGCAGACACCAGCGTTTTGGACAGCAATGACCACAAATTAATTCCCTTTCCAAAGTGCCCGCGGTATGCTGATAGAAATCATCATCCTTAGTGGAGATGGCGGGAGCACCTGAAGGAAGCGGCCGTGGCAGTAGGCCTGCGCCTGCGGGACGTGGAAGGCCTCGTCCATGTACGGCCCGCGCTGCTGGCGGTTGACCGCCGCGAAGAGCAGGCAGGACAGCAGGAAGGCGCCGCTCATGGCGGCGGAGAAGCAGTAGGCCTCCGCCCGCTCCATGCTGCCGCTGCCTCCGCC